CCTGCTGTTTAGACGTACATACTATATTCGGACTAGTTTTACGACGAGCCATGTTGCGGTACAGTGGTGCTAGTATATATATATATATATATATTATTAGTGATAAAAACTCTACGGCCTACGGTGGGCGAGACAGCCCCGCAACTTTATGCTCAAGGAAAAAACATTCTCACATGATCCGAGAAAACCCTCGAACCCCTGCGTCTCTCGCCCTTACACAAGGGCTAGAAACCTGTAAGTGGGCGGTGCTTTTGGGAGGCGGAGGATTTTTTAACTCCGGCTAGCGAAAGCGCCCGTGGGGGCTCCAACCCTGCAAGCGAGAGTTTTTTAGACATCTTGACCAACCGGTACGAGGAGCCGTTGGCATATATTATTAGTGATGATCACAAACAGACCAAGTTGAGGATTTTCCATGCGAATAATGCAGTTTGTTGAATTGGTTGACTAAACAAAACGGATAGGCAGTGATACATACATTTATAATACCCTGCTTGCCCAGAGGCTAGCTATCTGCTGTCTCTGTCTGCATTGATCCTCTTTGCACCGAGGATGCGTGAGATTGATGTCGAGAGTGATGGGAGAAGAAAAACGGTAGATCAGCGCGATGACTCCTTCAACCAGGAATATCCTTCCATTCCTTTGCTGCAAAGTTCAGAGAAGAAAAACTGGAGCAACGCCGGGAGACTTCTCTTGTTTTCCCTGGGTTCCAGGCTGAACCGCGGAGGAGTCTTCCTTCCATTCCTTTGCTGCAAAGTTCGGAGAAGAAAAATTGGGGGGGAGCACCGGGACACTTCTCTTGTTTTCCCAGGGTTCCAGGCTGAACTGGAGGAGTCCGATCTTACTGCCATCAAGAGTGAACAAGCTGACGGTGTACCGGTCGTTCCAACTGCCACGGGTTTGCTTGCGAAGCTTGACCAGCGGCCAACGATACGAAAATGAAACATACTTTATCCTAAGACCAATACTAATCAAATGTGGTAGCTTGTTGCTTGCAACATACCCAAGGAAGCTGCTGCTGCCATCGTCGTCTAGCAGCAGCAGCATGTTCAGACTGAGATTGTTTCTTTGCAAAGAAATAGGGTGAACAAAAGTGGGACTGAGATTGTTTTTTTTTTTTGCAAAGAAATAGAGTGCTACTAACCACTGCAGTACCGTTTTACTAATTTTACCACTGCCAAGTGCCAACAACAGCCAAGTCCCGTGCTAAATATAAATCGGCCTCTGGCTTCACGGCACGTTCACCAACCCCAACAACCACCTTGCGACGCGCGCGGCCAGACACCGACGCCACAGATGACCAGATGAGACGGTGGCCGGCTTGAACAACGCCGTGTACGCTTGCTTATAAGCTGTAAAGTATTTTTCTCTCGTAAGAAATCAGGTAATAGTACTTTTAGTCAAGCGACCCTTCAGAAAATGCCAATCATCGACAGGACCAACCGACGCTGTCTTGTTCAAGATGAGACCACGGCGGTCCGGAGTTAAGTAGCAATCAGCTCGGCCGTCGCTGTCAGGCACCTGCTGTGGCTGCCGCGATGTGCTTTTTCTGCTGTGGGCCTGTGGCTGCTGCTATGTGCTGACGCGCAGGCGATGGCGAGTGAGTGCACGGCATTTCCCTGTCCCTGACGATTGCCGTCGCCGGCCGGCGCCTCGTCCCGCAGTGCGCTCACCTTCACCTCAGTGGCTTGGGCGCACCTGCTCCTGCCGCCCTGTTCGCCTCGTCTTGTCGCCGTGGGGTGGGGATTTTGTCCCCATTGTTTTGAGCGGAGGTACAGTTAGTTAATGTGGGATTACGCAGGAAAAATTATCGTCTGATGCATGCGCATCTCTTGTATACAGCTTTTAGTTAATGCGCTTGCTTCGGCACCCTGACAAAGCATCGAGTTTGGGAGGCAAGTTTAATTAAGCCCTGTCATACCCTTGGCCGTCGACTTGAGTGCTCAAGCGAGTACAGGGAACGGATGAGAACGCCAATTAGGACAGCCTTTTCCTGAACGTTTGTCTTAGCAATTGTCTGAATGAATTCTTGATACAGGATTCGGGCACGTTATATGCCGATACACTCACTTGCCATGTTCGCTTTTATAATCTTTTAGTATTTTTTCTCTCATAACAAATCAGTCGGAATAGTGTTTGATTTTTTTTTTCAGCGAAACGAACGGGGCCAGATACATAAATGAAAACGTACTGGAAGCAAATATGCAAGTCACTATGGACACGCTTTCCTCATATGCGCCTCCTGCTTCACTTGTCGTAGTCACCCATGACACCTCCCCGCCGAAGATGAAGCTTGAGCCTCTGGAAAGTGCTTGGTTGAGCACCTTGCCTGAGAGGCGTCGGTCGATGATAGCCTGTGGTGTTGTTGCCGCCGCCTCCAGAGTTCAGTTGTAAATAGTAGAGAGCCGTAGACCGGTGTGTAATCTAAAACAAATAGTTTTAGTTGTGAAATGTGAAATACATGCGGCCTGCTCGGTTGGCTGGTTCATATCGTTGCTGGTTCAGAAGAAATACTGCTGGCTGGTCTGTGTGAGAGAAAAATACTGTTCCAGCTAGAAATTTATGATCATTTATGACAAACCACGACCAAACGAACAGACTCATGGTGTCCTCTGACAGGTCAAGGTGAGGCTATTGAGTCAACGCACTCCAGCACTTTGTATGGGCCAAAGTATTTATACGCCAGCTTGGGAGATGGTCTGCTAGCCATTGTTGATTGTGTGTATGGTTGCAGCTTGAGGAGGACTTGATGTCCCACGTTGAACTGCAGATCACTGCGTTTCATGTCTGCCTTTACCTTCGCTTCTACACATTCAGTCTATTCGCTGATTCGACAAGCCGCTTATGCTAGTTTGTGCGGCTGATTTGTTGAGAGAGAAAAATACTGTTGGCTGACTGATACGCTCTGGTTGAAACCAACAAGTGAACAGACCGATTAAGTAGATCAACATCCTTCACTTCTACAAGAAGTATACTGCACGGTCAACTGCCTTCGGCTTTGCTTCTGCTTTGTCATACTCTCCCGAAAATCCCACAAATGATGCTTCGAACGAAGTTGTTCCTATTTAACAAGAATAACTCAAAGATTGAAGTATTTCACTAGTAAAAAAAATTCAGTTGGCTTCGGGGACTGCGTTGCCTAAGGTTGAATCCCCAACAGAAAAAAATAAATTACAAATCTATGTAATATTTAGAAAAAACTTAAATAGAAAGTCAAAGTTAATAAAAAGATAGAACAAAACATAAGGGAAAATATAAATAATACAAAGGGAAAAGGCCCATAATAGATAAAAGTAAAAAAGAACATCACACGGATACTACTAGAACAACCTAAAATATACCACACAACATCTCACATATGCATGTATTATGTAAATGATCAAATATACATCATGTAACATCACATTTATACTGCATGAACATCCTAGAGTACGCTATGGAACATCCAATAGATACCGTGTAAATAATCAAAAATAGAACATAGAAACATCACATTTATACTACGCAAACATCACATGTATACTACGCGAACATCATATGTATTTCATGGAATACATGAAATAAAAAAGTAAAACATAAAAAAGAAAAGGGAAAAAAGAAAATAATCAATTAGAGTTAAATATATCATGGAACATCCCTACATACTACGCGAATGACAAAAAATACACCATGGAATATCTCATTGGTACTATAGGAAAATTGAAAAATATACCCCGTACGAAACATGAGTGCTTCGAGAAAATCAAGAATGCATCATGGAATATCTAAAAAAAATACTATATGAACATCCAAAATACATCACTGAACATACCATGAATACTACAATAGTTTAGAATGTATCTCATAAATAATATGAGAATAGTCTTATTATGATGCAGAAAAATTGTTTAAGTGAATATCACCACAAGATCATGTATATCATGCAACATATAATGAATACTATAACGATAATTAGAACACAACTCGTAAATACTAAGAGAACAATCATATTATACTATAGAAGAAATATTTCAAGCGAACATTAGAGGTATGCCACATGTATACTACATAAACATTGCATATATACTACATGAAATTACATGTACCTCATTAAATACATACATAAAATTTAAAAGTAAAACATTAAAATAAAAATAATTAATTAGGGTACAATAAAACATAAAAGGAAAAATATGAAAAACATACAAAAACACATTAAAAAGAGAGGACAGAGAAATAGAAGAAAAGAAAGATAAATGAAAAATAAATAAATAAATAAAAGAAACATAAAATATAAGAATCAAAACTCATAGAAAACAAAAAATAAATAAAAATAAAAAAGAAATAGAAATAGAAGAAAGGAAAGAAAAATGGAAATGCAACAAGCTGCCTAGACGGCTGGACATCGGTGCCGGCCTGCCGGGCGTGGGAACGTGAGAGCCGCGCTACTCTGGCTGCTATGGGCCGCCACTCTCACTCCTTCCGGGCCCATCAGTAGGATGATGGCCCAACAACAATTTAGGGGCCGACAATCATCGCATTCTTTACCACACTACAGACAAGCTACAAAAGTACTCACAATCATAGCCCAGTTTACTGGCCCAAAGAGAAAAGTTAGGATTAGTCTAGTGGGAAGAAGCCCAACAGACCAACCCTACAAAGGCGTTCACACAATTGCCTCCGGAGGCCTAGCCTCTCTGTGGGCCATTCCAGCGTCCCCTTGTTGGGCTGCCCTTGCTCACCACGCCCTCTTGATTTCTCCCTCCAATCTGATAAGCCAAACTTTCAATTAAAGTTTTGGCACGGTTTATCCAAAACGATTTTATTAATGAAGTCATAGTTGGTGAAGCCAGAAAAACTGATTTTATAAAACACTTCACACCATTTTAATTTCGATTTACATAAAATAGATAAATCACACCACTGTATCTCGATTTACGTAAAATAGATGAAGATGAACCCGAAGAACCGTGCAAAGAGGCCCTATCAAAATCCGATAAGCCAAGCCAAACCCAAACCCAACCATGGCGTGCATGCCGGCCGTGTCCGCCCCCTCCGTCCTCGCGCCGGCACCGGCGTCGACCCGCACCCACCTCTGCTACTCAACGGAAACGAGACGCGGCGCGCTCTCACTCCGCCCCGCCCGCGCTATCCCGGCGCTGAGGCTCGGCTGCCACCGCGACGCCCGTAGCGCCGTCGTCGTCCGCGCCGCTGCGGCAGAGGTATGTGCGGCTACGGGCACCTACCGGCGCTCCCCGAGGCCGAGCGCGTTCTGACAGGCTGCCGGTGTTTCCCTACAGGGAGCCGTGGATCTGCAGGCCAAAGTGACAACCAAGTGCTTCTTCGACGCGGAGGTCGGCGGGGAGCCCGCTGGCCGCATCGTCATCGGGCTCTTCGGAGAGGTCGTACGTAAGACCGTCGACAACTTCCGTGCACTCTGCACTGGTGCGTACGCTGTAGATCGAATTTGAACCAGCGTTAGTCACAGTAGCTTTATCAGTCGAATTTAACAAGCATTGCTGCTCTTTTGGTTGGGGTACAGGTGAGAAAGGGTACGGCTACAAGGGTTGCTCCTTCCACCGGATCATCAAGGACTTTATGATTCAAGGCGGGGACTTCCAGGAAAACAATGTAATCATTTTTACCAGTACGCATTTCGCCTGAATGGCTACTGTAGATTTTGTTAAATATTCCTACAACTGAAGAAGAGGAGAGTAGAATTGAGGTTCCTATATATTCATCAATCAACATAGTAAATCATTGCTCACAAGTAACAATAGAATGAACTCCAACATGGAAAGAAAACCTGAAAGATGAACAAAATCAGTTATGAAATTTTGTCTTCCAAGACATCCAGTCTGTTTAGCTCGGCCAGATAAAGTTATATTGCACCTATTGATCTGCATACTCGCTGTAAGTCTCCTAATAGTTGAGTATCATGCCTTGCTCAAACATCAGTTTATTGATTATCTGATCTACTATTGGATTTTATAGGATGGGTATCACCAGTCAATGGTCAATCATATGGGCCACATGTTTATTGGCATATGGGTTTAATATATCAAACTAGAGCCATACTTCCAGTGCATCAAGTCCTCCACAACCCATCGAATTTGTTGAGCCTGTTTGGATCTTATTTATATTGTCTCCGTGGACATGCTTGTGGAACGTTGAGCATTATCTCATCCAATGTCTATTGGGATATTACTCTGTACTATAATTGCACCTTGAAGTTAGCATTCAACTATCTGCATTGCATCACTAAATATCTATTCTCTTGTGTGTAGATAAGTTGAAACCATTTTACAAACTATTAGCACAAAGCAGCTCCCTTTATGCAATTTGTCACTTCTATTTCCACCGTTAATCATAGTCAATAATGATACATCCATTGAGCTTTGTCTGCAAAACTGCTTGAATGATTGTGTCTCACTAGATAAGCTTAGATTTTTTTTTTTTTTAGTCACAAGTTTCGTATAATGCAGCAAGGGAATGAACATGATGTGAAAATGTAGATTGGTGTAACTCATGATACAAAATTGATTGTTGGGTGCCGAAGTTGCGCAAAGTACATTTAGTTTGCAAATTAAATTTGGGTTTATGTTGCTGAGTAATGGTGAAGACAGAACTTCTCTGCTCTTTGTCAATATGGAACCAAATCAATACGCTGATGATGAGTGGGGTAGGGTTCCACCTCACAAGTTTGCACCATGGAAGTAGCAGACTAGCAAAAGCTACCACTGGCTACTTATTAGTTATGGGTAACATTATACTTTTCAAAGAATTGATAACCAAATTGTGAAAGGTATAGGAAAATTACCCATGAAAGTGAAATAAAGTTCAGGAAGTTCGATAATGTTTATTCAGAGAAACTAGTTCTGTCAGGAGATAAAAGGTCATCTTCACTTATCCTAGTGCTAAGTTATTAGTGGTGACCACAGGGTACTGGTGGGAGAAGTATTTATGGTGAATGCTTCGATGATGAAAATTTTGCGTGTAAGTGATTCTGAGCCTTCTACTTTATTACCTTCTACTATTTTATTTTCATTTGAAAGTACTGCTATTAATTCTGTTCTCATTATGATGAATTTTTGTGTGAACTTCATCTAGCTTTCTGTTACTAACAATATGCATTATTACCATTGTCAGAAAAATTAGATTCCGCATGCATTGGTGATCCTTCTTACCTGATCAGATATATATTTTTTAATGGGGTCATGGACTGCCCAAGGAGGCTTGAGAAATGCTCTTTATGAATTACTTCTTCACATTAATTTAATAATACAGACAAGAGCTTACAGGAAACTGATTCTGAATGAAGTTCTGTTGAATTGCAAATTGTCGAGGTGTCTGGTGCCATTTCACTAGTTCTTAAACTGAGAGGTTCTTTGTCTTACTTTATTGCAGTGAAGCATGTTGGCCCTGGTGTGCTAAGCATGGCAAATGCTGGCCCTAACACAAATGGAAGTCAATTTTTCATTTGCACTGTGAAGGTAAGGCATTCATGATTTGTAGTAATGATAGAGTTCATTTGGCTCACTATTTTGCCTGCTGGAACATCTTAAATTTTGCAGCATTAAGAATCTAGCTTTTGATTAATGATTCACATTCAAATCTAATGTTGATCAGTGAATGTAATTGATAGTCTTAAAGAATATAGGAAAATTAAGAACAAGTCGGTATTTTCAGTACATATTTGTAGTTCCAATGGTATATATTTTCGGTAGATATATGTAGTTCCATTGCTATATTCTGTAGTAGCTGATTAGATAGCTGTTGAACCAGAGTAGTAACAAGTTTATATACACCCTTAACAAACTTGGCTAGAAAAATCCGTTTGTCTCAGAAAAGGGGGAGGGAGGAGACTCCAATCAAAACTGCCTATTTACATAGATACATTCCACATCCTAAAGAGAAACATTAATCCTTAAGCACAAATTTCCAATGATTCCTTTTTGGAGGGGTTACTGTCCAGGCCCATCGGCCTCCTCTTACTTCTGTTGGTCAGTGTCTCCTAGTATCTTGTTACTCTTGATTCATATGAAAATAATTATCTGTTGTTCTTTAGACAGATTTGTAAAATATGTTTTGTGGTTCTATTCTTTTTGGACCTTTGGTCAAAGTTACCAACTGATTATGTTTAAGTCGTTTGGCTAGTTTTCACCACACCTATATATTTCACAAAATTCTTTGAACTTTGCCTATTAAAAATCTATTCATATACTTTGATTTATTACATGTCATAAGTGAGCTCCTAGTATTTTGTTACTCTTGATTCATATGAAAATAATTATCTGTTGTTCTTTAGACAGATTTGTAAAATATGTTATGTGGTTCTATTCTTTTTGGACCTTTGGTCAAAGTTACCAACTGATTATGTTTAAGTTGTTTGGCTAGTTTTCACAGCACCTATATATTTCACAAAATTCTTTGAACTTTGCCTATTAAAAATCTAAAAATCTATTCATATACTTTGATTTATTACATGTCATAAGTGAGCACCATGACATTTTCAACTCGATGACATTGATTGGGTTTGTTGTTGTTTATGTATGGACAAGACAAGATTCAAGGTAGTATATGTACATCTAGATGTGGTAGGATAATATATCATGAATAAACTATCCCTTGTCAAAACATAGCCTTTGGACTTCTTATGTTTGTTTAGTTCAGCAAGAACCGGCCATCGAGGTCTTATATATCTGTGGTATTTGGCTCACTCTGAAGTCTGAAATAATGGAATTCTTCTCAGACACCGTGGTTGGACAACCGTCACGTCGTGTTTGGACATGTCTTAGAGGGGATGGACGTGGTGAAGCAGCTTGAATCTCAAGAAACCAGCAGGTCCGATACTCCCAAGCAGCCCTGTCGCATCGTTAATTGTGGCGAGCTACCCCTGGACAGCTGAGTGAAGTAAACAGCTCAGTTTTGGGGTTAATTGTTGATCCGTGCAAAACGTACAGTAGTGCAAGTGGAAGTACCCATAGGTTTTATTTTCTGGGAAATCCTCTTGCTGAGTTTGAACATGAGCTTCTGGGAAGTCTTCTCTTACGTTAGAGCATCGACGCCCATTTGGTTGTATCATTCAGTCATTTGAGTTATATGTGAGATACGTGCCATGATGAAACTTTACTCAGATGTGGACACATTTTTACGACTTAATAGCAACGAAATGACCAGAGTCATCTCAAAATAAAAGTGGTCAGCCTTCTTTCATATCAGACAAGTTAGCATCAGTGTTTTACATTTCACGCCAGGAGAACACTGGACCCATCAGATACACACATACATTTCTGACTGAAAAGTGAAGGTGTACTAATACCAATGGAGGAGAGAACTTGTCGGGGTTATTATCCCGGATGTCTCCAGATATCCACTAACAGACAGGCCGGACGGCCCACGATACAAAAGCCAAGCTTGAGCCCGAACGACCGAGGTCTAGCTAAGCTAAGCGGACCTGGCCAACCATTGAGCCTGAGGTCGGCCATGACCTCTCCCTCTGCATCATGGCCACCAACTCCACAAGCAGCAAGATGATCGGCGACCCAGGGGCGGCTACCTACTCTCGTACGATGCCCCCGGACGATCAGGAGGCGATAACGAAGACCAAGCAAGACCACGTGGGATGGGATCCACGACGATGGCCTTGGGGACCCCGGAGCTCGACATCATGGCCACCAACTCCACAACATGATCGGCGACCAACACCGCCATGATGGCGAGGCGTTGTGGCACCACGTCATGCCATGCCGCGACGTGAGCACAAGACCATAATGACAGCCATGCCAAGACGTGCACCACAAGATGGCGTTACTTGCAAGCCGAGTTAGTTAGGCCCCCTCCCTCAGGCTCATGACCCTTTTGTTGGGAGAACCTCCTTTGTAACCTGGCTCCGGACTCTATATAAGGGCAGCCAGGGCCTCCTTACGGGGCATCCCCATGACTCCCATTTAGTCCATATCTCTGTAAGGAAAATGGACCCTTGACCCATTTACTTTGGATTTTGGTGTTTGATGACCAACACAACCAAATTGGACTAATGAATTTGCAAGTGTTTATTTTGTAGTCCAATAGGGTGCAAGACGTGACTTGGACGAAGGCGACATGATGATCTGATGATCAACACCTCAAGCAAGACCTTAGAAGCACAAGAAAAGACCCAAGATGTCAAGCAAAGTCCAAGCATGAAGATAGGAACCAAGCCGCGCAAGATCGTAAAAGAAACGAAGCTCATGAGAGGTGACGGACGACTGGAAGCGCTGACCGGACGCTGGACCGGTGGTTTCAGCGAGACAGCGACCGGACGCAAGGACGGGACTGGCGGCAAGAATCGACCGGACGCAGAACGCAGCGTCGATCAATCTGAGAGAAGTTCGTTCCAGCGCTGAAGCTGCGACGGACGCGTCCGGTGGCGAGCGGACCGGACATTGGCGTCGTCCGTCGGTAGTTCAGCGGCTAACAGTCGAGACGACGACCGGACGCGTCGGTCAGAGACGATTCAGCGTCCGGTCGATGGCGATTCGGCGGAGTTCGACCCCAACGGTTATTTTCTCGGTGGGGCTTATAAATACAACCCCCAACCGGCCATTTGAGAAGTGTGGAGCTGATGAAACATATCAAGAGTGTTGATACACCATTTGAGTGATCTCCACATGCATAGTGCTTAGTGTTTTATTAGGTGATTAGCATAAGTGCTTTGCGAAGTTTAGGTTGATTAGACCATCGCTTATGCGCTTGCTCTAGGTGTTTGCCTAGTGTTTAAGTGAGGTTTGCATACCTCTTGCCACCCCGTGCTTGTGAGCACAAGTGTTGTACATCGGAGGGGCTTGAAGTCTTGCGAGATCACACCAACCGCGTTTGTAGTGTGGTGGCCGCGTGTACCGGAGGGAACAAGGCTCTGGCGTTTCGGCCGAAAGCTTGATAGTGAAGGCAATGGGGAGCATCCGGGAGAGGCTTGCCGGAAGGCACACATCGGAGACCCACTTGCTGCGTGGGGAAGGCCGAGGCTATCCACGGAGTTACCCGACCGGGAGCTTGGCCCTTGCGAGGGATTCCTTGCGAGGGGCTCCAACGAGGACTAGGGAAAGCTTGCGCTTCTCGATACCTCGGTAAAAATACCGGAGTCGTCAATGGGAGTTTGCATATCTCTACCTTGCTCTTTAAGCTTCCGCATTTACATTGATCATGTTATTATCATTTGTGGTAGAGATAGCAATACACTAGCAAAACCGTAGTTGATCATCTAGATAGATTATCTTTTGCATAGGTTTTGCTAGAGGTAGAAAAAGAGGCCATAGTTTAGAGTTAGTTTTTAAGTTGCCTAATTCACCCCCCCTCTTAGGCGTCCTCGTGTCCTTCAAGTGGTATCAGAGCCGGTTGGCTCATATTTGGACCTTTGGCTTAACCGCCATTGAGCCGACGCTTGTAGAGTGGTTGGGATGGATACCTCTAGGCCTCCACAATTTGACGGCTCTAACTTCCCATACTATAAAGCTAGAATGGCTTGCCACCTTGAGGCGGTTGATTTGGGTGTATGGAGAGTCACTCGTGACGGGATGAAACCCATCAAGAATCCCGAAAAACCCACAAAGAGTGATGAAAAAGAAATGCATTTTAATGCTAGAGCTAAGAATTGCTTGTTTGAATCATTTAGCATGGATGTGTTTAACCAAGTGTTCACCTTAAATACGGCACATGAAATTTGGTTAAAACTTCAAGAGCTCTATGACGGTACAAGTAATGTCCGTGAGCAAAAACATTGTCTAGCTAAGCAAAATTATGATTCCTTTGCTATGAATGATGATGAGCTTGTTCGTGATATGTATTCTCGATTGAATTTAATTATCAATGAGCTCCATTCAATAGGATTATTAAAGCTAGATGATGCGGACATCGTGAGGAAGATCATCTCCGTTCTACCACAAAAGAAATATGCAAGCATCATCACCATCCTTCACAACATGGAGAACTTGAGCACCATGACCCCGGGCATTGTCATTGGCAAGCTAGTGGCATTTGAAATGTCACGTAAGATGGGTCAAGGAGAAGCATCTTCATCAAGCAAAGGCAAAGCTCTCGCTTGTAGCGAAAAGAAAAAGATGAAGGGCAAGAAAGTTGAGTCAAGCTCAAGCTCAAGCTCCTCAAGTGAAGAAGAAGAAGATGAGGGTGATGATGATGATGAACAAGAATCAAGTGATGATGATCAATCTTCCTCCTCCACCTCCGACCTTGATGAAGAATCAATCAAATTAATCAACAAGGTGGAGAAGATGATCCAAAGGCTCAATGTCAAGGGTGTGCCCATCCAAATTCAAGATCTCATTTTCACCAATCAAAGAAATGAGCAAAGAAAGAGAGGATGCTACGGATGCGGCGAGATGGGGCACTTTGTGGAAGTTTGTCCAAACAAGCCCACACCCAAGACAAAGAAGAAGGCGTGCAAAAACAAAGCCCTCACAACAATAAGGTCATGGGATGATTCTTCAAGTGAAGAAGAAAACCATCACAAAAGCGAGGTCATAAGCACTCATCATCAAGCTCTTCTCGTGTGTGCCTTATGGCACGAGGTAACAAAAGCTCATCCTCTAGTGAGAGTGATAGTGATGATGACTTGCCTTCTTACAATACAATTGTGCAACAAAATCTTAAATATGCTAAAGTTTGCACTAGTCAACAAAAGAAGCTCAAAACTTTAAAAGAAGAGCTAGGTAGTTCACAAGAAGCATACAAGAATTTGCTTGAACAATATGAAAACTTTGCAAATCTCAATGTTGAACTATCTACTAAAATTGAGCAACTTGAGGCTAGTGCAACAACAAGTGCATGCACAATTAATGATAAGCAACTTGAAAAGAAAAATGAAAAATTAAAAGAAAAGTTAGCTAGCTCACAAAATGATTATCAAAGTTTGCTTGCTAAAATGGAAATCATGTGCAAACATTGTGATGAGCTAACAAATCAAGTTGCTAATCTTAAGGCCGAAAAAAATACCCCCACCAAGGCATCTAAAAGAAATGACATAATTAAAAAGGATGCATCTACCTCTTGCAATGATTTATGTTTAGACTCACCTTTGTGCAACCAAGTTTGTGTTAAGAAAGTGTGTGTAGATACATGCACACAAGAGGTTGCAAAAGAGAATGAGCAACTCAAGCAAGAAGTAGCTCGCCTCACCAAGGACTTGACTCAAATGAAAGGCAAGGCGAAGCAAACCCAACTTCATCAAGATAACACCGTCAAGGGAGTGAAGAAGCTTGATGAAGGACAAATCGTGGTTTGCTACGTGTGCCACAAAGAAGGCCACAAGTCCTATGAGTGCAAGGTGAAGAATGGGGGAGGAGCAAAGAAGAAGGAGAAAAAGCAAACAAGCAAGCTCTCCAACACCTACACCAACAAGGTGGACAAGAAGGCCTCCACACCTTATCTCTTGAAGAAGAAGAAAAATGACAAGGTGGTGGCCATCAAGGTGAACAAGCAAGCAAACAATGGGGTCAAACGCTTTTGGGTGCCAAAGGAAATCATTTCCAACATGAAGAGCACCAAGAAGGTTTGGATCCCGAAAGGGAAGTAAGAAGTCCGCTTGGTTTGGGAATTTGGAGACTTGGCAAAGTATGGGTGCGTTTCATGGGGTGCATCATGATGGACAAAATCATTGCCAAGTGGGTTAGTGAATACTATGGACCCAAATTCCCCTTCCCATGTTAGGTAACTAGTTTTAATTTACTTCAATTGATATTAGATTTAAAATTTTCCTACAATTGGTACCTTTTTGCATCTAGTTACTCTTCATACCTATGTTTGCATTTGAATTCTTATATCTTTTGTCATGCATACACTAGGTATATCATATGGTAGGCTTGCTCGGTTTCATTCTTAACCCTTGGAGCAAACCTACATGGTTTAAAATTG